TGGGTATGTTTCATATTATCCTTCCATGTGCAATGCCCACACTTGTGGATCCTGCCTTGGTGGAATCGGTGGCAAAATGCTTCAAGGAACAGCCCAGCCTCAGAGAAGCTGCTGGACTTTGGGAATTATGTCATGCACACTCAAGGTTACTGCTGGGGGAGGTGTCTGATCCAAGGTTGGGATGACTTTCCTTACTGATCATTCTGGCCGGGTATTTACTACGAAGAAATGTTCGTTGAAGGATGTGGTGGCCAATGCTGATGCAACCCTGACTGCAGTTACCATCTCTATGTATCTGTAGGGCTATAAAAGGTAGGTATCTGAGTCAGCTGAGGTGATCTATGCGGTTATGAAAGGCACTCGCAGGGCGCATCAATCAGCCTATGTCATCAAGGATGCGATTTTCATGTTTTACGAGGATTGCAAACTGTTTCCCCGGGGATTACAGCGGAACCTGGATTGTGTGGATAAATGGGGTACGCGAATGGGTGGGGCTCTGAGGCGATTGGCTGCTGGGCTAAACGTCATTCTTCGTAGTTTGATTGGTAAGGTATCAAAGCAACACTCAAAAATCCTATAGGACTTCGCCTAGCTAGCTTGTCTTTAGAAGGATGGCCCATATTTTCCTTTCAATATTATACTTCATCTTAGGTTTCACGTACTCGACGATTGATGAAAAGGGCCAGCAGCTCCAAGATGAAAAAGCTGAATGCGCTCCGCAACCGCATCCGTGCACTTAAGATTCCAGGCTTGGATACTTGCCTAAGAGGTGGAGGGTCACGCATGGTTTCATATGATCGGGTTCCGAATAAATCCTATATAGCTCACGAAGGTTGTTCTGTACTCATAAAGATTTCCTAGCCCTAACTAAGGAAAGAACTGCAGATGAGGGTGACTCATCAAGCAGTGAGGAAAGCAATCATGGTTGCACCGACTTGTCTGAGCTCTGCTCTTCTGTCTCCAGCTCTTCATCATGGTTGTCTGGCCTGAGCAGGTCAGACTTAACGTTAAGCCGCCTTGCTTCTCAGCTAAACGATGTCAAGCTGTTCAATGATGCTACAGCCATGCAGAAGTTCCCAAAGGACCCTGTACCTTCGGATTCGGAAGCTACAACCCGGAGCCCTAGCCTTTCCACCCTACTGACGCCTAAGTCTTCGAACCCCTCATCTGCCTCAAGCTCTCCGAAAACAGGGGCCCAGGGAAACAATGTGATGGGTGAATGTGATGATCTCAAGATCTTCAAGGGAAATGAGAAGAATATGGGGCGAATGGTGCCGTCTGGCGTTCCTTGTTTGCAACAGTGTTAGCTTGGCTATTATCATTGATGCTCTTAATTAGCTGAAGCCCAGATCTCATTACACATGTACGCCTCTAAGGTTTTGAAGAGTCTCTTGGATCATGCCAAAAATCCCACATTGGTTGACCCCTTTCCCCTGAGCGCGCAGTATGCCCGCGCCTTTCGAACTGATGATGAGGACAATGATGAGGCAACCTGCCAAGAAGAATTGGGCTCGGTAAAGCGTAAGGTAGGATTCAATGGGGGCATTAAGAAGAATGCTGGCAAGAAGCAACAGGGAGCTACTGTTCGCTTGAGGACTTTCCGTGGCTTTCAAGTCGGTCGAGTCATGCGAGGCTCAGGTTCAGACTCCATGCAAGAGGCCCCTGTGTATTCTCCGCACCTCTATATGGAGAAGTTCAAGATCTACATAATGGCAGCTGCAAAGGAAGGAATTTCAGCCAAGAGTGCCCGTGAAAGCTGGAAAACCAGCCTAGAGCGAGCTCTTCTTCTGAAAGATGTATCAGTTCCAGAACTCAAACGTAGGCGTTTTGTTGCAAAGGGTTGCAAGACAAACCCTTTCCAGGCTATAGCAGCCGCAGCTAGGGCATAGTGCAGGTCCTGTGCGATTTGTGTCGCAGATTTGCGCTTCATGGTGCAATGAACACTAATTATAGCACTCATGTGCACAAAGCAATTCGTTTCGCAGGTGGATCTTTGGGGTTGCCACGGCAAAATGGCCTCAATTGTGTGCAGCGTGCAGCGGACAGGTATTGTTGTGCACTTCTGCTTTAAATCCTTGTTCCAGCAATTGTTTCTGGTTTACAGTTTCCAGCGCAGGGAACAGGGGTTACAGGTGCAGGCTTTGCACTCCGCGATATGGTTATTGCTGAGCTCCTTCGTGTGAAAGCACCCTTGCCACTCATAGTGGCCGTGCTCTTGATCAGCTTCAACCCCAAGATCCCGAAAACCCAGGAGCGTGTGCCTTTCATGTTCAAATCTCAAGCTTAAAATCCCTTATATCCCAACCCGTGAAGAGGACCGCGAGTTTTTGGAGCTGTTCTCGGGCCAGGGCCTGGTGCCCCAATCCCTCAGATCCGTATCTAAGCTCAAATTGGAATCCCAGGATTTTCTGCGTAGGCAAATCTTGCAAACCTTAAGTAGCGAATCCTGAAGCCTTGAACCCAATCCCCAAGTAAATCTGAAACGTGTGGGACTCAGTTGCGCCTCCGCGGGGCCTCCTTGGACTGGGATATAGATCGGCAAACCATGGACCTGCTGAGCCCAGCAGGCTTCGGGAGCTTGGGCAGCGTTAAGACTACATGGGTATGTGTCGTTATTTGTTGCATTCTTTGCTTCTTGGATATGAGGCTTGCTCTGGTAGAGCTCTTGCGACTACGACCAGGATCCCTCGTGATCATAGCTCTGGATTGCCGATCATATTCAATGATGCCTGGGCCTATACACCAAAGCCTGTTGTGACTCCATGATACATGAACTATTGATTGGCTTTCGCAATTTCAGGTCCCGGGCAACGTCAGGAAGAACAATTCTCAATCCTGGTGGAAATTGTCAGTATGATTTTGTGGCGCAGGGGAATGTTCTGGGTAGCCGGGTATGCCTATGCATCTACCTTTGCTTAGCCTTGCGGCTACGCTTCCTGTTGGAGCAACCAGGGCTGTCATTCCTACCGTCCATGCCACGATATCAAGATCTCTGGAAGCAGTTTGAGGCAGGGCATTCATTAACGCCATCTAGGCATGTATGTTTGTGTTCATACATGTCCATGGACTGAGATCTTCCATGGGAAGTTCTACATGGGCAACTTTTCCGGGGCAACGCCCAAGCCGCATATGATCTTCAGCCAGGATAGGCAGCTAGTGGACTCCATTATGACTCGCGCCGGCTACATGAGCAAGAATATGCAGAGCTCCTTCAAAAAGAGTCTTGTTACGAAATACATCGACAAAAACGGTGTCGCAAGGAGGACTGGTAAACGCCAAGAACTCAAGGAGAGCCAGCCACTAGGCTACATGATCTGGCTTCGGGTTAAATTCCTCAAGCTTTTGTGCCCAAGCTGCCTCGGTAGCTGCTGCTGAGGACGTACACGAAGGACTTCGGTGATTTCCTTGCCATCAAGTTCCAGCAATTGATGCAGGTGCTCCAGAATTAGTGGTTGGGTTGAGAGCTTTGATATGGGCCCATTATTTCGCGTTAGGGCTTAAGGAATTTAAGGGATTTTGGGCTATATGGAGTCTGCTTCAGTACGGAGGCGCCTGCTTTCCAGGTTCTGGCTTGGCCTTGTCCGCCTCAGGCGCGGTCTTTCCGCTCACACGGGTGGCAGGCTTCGCTGCACTTTTCATTGGCTTGATGACGCCTTTCCCCTGAAGAGCTTCCATGACACGTGCGTAGTCTGCTTTCTGGTCTGCAGTCGCGGCCCCTGAAGCATGCTTTGGGTCAATCTAGCAAATTAGCCCCTGAAAAGGGAATTGAGGCTACCACGCGGATCAGTTTCCCAGAAGGCCCAGCTTTTTCAAGGTCTGGTCCTTGAATGATGATTTCAGGTCAAAGATGGTTCAAACTGGCGTATGAGGCTGTAGTGCAAGCAAGAGTCCCAGTTACCCGGCGCATCAATGTACTTGCAATCGAGATAGTCGATGACAGGCTCCATGTCTGCCTTAAAATTTCAAAGACATGTGACCCTAACCGGAGACGGGCCTAATCATTAGCTGAGTAGCATCTGTCCAGGCATCAAAGTCACGAAGCGCATCAGAATCAAAGAAATGTTCTAGGAAGAGCTCGTGATCAGTCTTGCTGGGGTCCACTTCAGGGGCCTGCTTGGAAGCTGGCGGAAGCGCCGGCATAGGCACCTGATCATAACAAACAGGCCAGTATCTAGAGGTCTAGAATTATCCAGGCACATATGTACATGGGGAAACCTGAGCTTTGTGGGGCGCCGGCCTCGACATGATGGTTTCCTGGGACCGATGGGAGGAGGTATTGGACAAGGTCTTGAAGGATTACGCTGAAAGCCCAGCAACAATCAAGGATGCCCTTGAGAAGGTTTTGGGGCCAGCTCCCAGCCATATCACCGTGGCAAGCGTTGCAAGGCAGCCAGAGGCCAAGACGCCCGCGCCAGCCCCTAGGGTAGAAGATCCCCAGGATGATGAGGAGGAGAATGAAGATGAAGGTGAGGCTGAGGATGAGGATGGGGATGAGGATGGGGATGAGGAAGGGGATGAGGAAGGGGAGGAGGACAACCCCGAGCAGGTGGCGCCCGAGCCAGCTGTCTTGCAGCTGCCGTCGCCGCCTGTCCCCTCAATGCAAAAAGACCTCTATTCCCATCCCATATACCGTGGCCCCATGTCCTGATGGCACATCTAAGGTTACTCCAGTGAAGAGCTTGGCACGCAAGTTTGATGATGCGGAGTCAGCGCCCAAGGAGGCGAGCAAGGTTCGGCGTATGGACTCTATGCAGCTCCTTGTTTGGCACGTATAGCTGCAGGATCTGCTGACTTAATAACCCTTAGCGCGTGATATCCTAGGTCATGCAAGACTTTGATCCAGGGCTTGAAGCAAGCCGATGCGATGGCTTACAGCGGTTGGCCGCGATCGGAGGTGAATTCTCCTTCTGTAGACGAGTTGCTGGATGAGCTACTTTCCTGAGTTAAAGTGATGCTCAGTGACTTATACACGTGAGGCGCAAGTTGATTCTGCGACTGAGGTTGGACGACAGTGCTTCGCAGGTGTTGCTTGACTGTCTCATGCAGCGCAAGAACAAGAAGCCACAGCCAGCTGTGGCTGAGAAGGCCCCTGAGGATGATACCGCGAGTCCCCTCACAGGCAAGGAAATGGCTGCCAGGAAGGCGTGGTTGCCCCCCAAGCATGAGGAAGAACCATCTGCTAAGAAGCCAGGGCTGAGTTCTATCCTGAAGAAACCTTCTGTTGCCCCGCAGCCCAAGAAAGCTTGCGAAGATGGTGCTGAGGACTTCCAGCGCCAGCTGGAAGCGGAGATTGATACGCAGATTGATGAGGTGAAAGATGAGCCGAAAGATGAAGAAAAGGCGGAAACGCCGGCGCCACCCAGCAAGTATGCAAAGGCCAACAGCACCAGCCACCGGACGGAATGGATGAAAATGACGAGGCGCTTTGAGTGTGAGGATGCGCGTGCGAAGTGGCCCGAGATTGCAAAGCTTTGGGACTCGTGCCGTGAGGCTGGTCATGAATGGTCACGGGAAGCTTGTGTTATATAGGTGATAGGTGCAGTGCCCATGATTTGCTAGGACAAACTGAGAGTCTTTCGGGAATGGCTTCAGAACGAGAAATCCTACGATGCCACAGAGAGCACGATGAAGCTGATCCGAGAAACGGCCACCAACAAAAGCAAAGATTGGGAACAGCTCACCATATACGAAATGGTGTCACGTGGATTTTCTGCGTGCTTGCCTCAGTGTGTGTCGTCAGGTCATGTAGTAGCTACACGCATGTTCTAACGCAACATTTTTGGGTGTTGCCAGGGCCAAAATCGAAGCACTGGTCCGCAAAGGCGGCGAAGAGGATGAGGACGCGCCGGACGATCCCTGCAGCACCCTCTATTGGGCCCGCACCGGGGGCAAGAAGAGCGAATGTGATTCCCGGAAGCAGGTGATTCAGACAGATGTTGCGGTGCGCACGGATGCCGACATGGCCGAGTCCCTTCTGGGCGGGGCCTCATCCGAGAGTTCTGGGCGGGCGAGGTTTGCAGACAAGGCCACGGCTGACGGGTTGGGTGTTTTGAACGACCTCCGGAACAACCCCGCTGGCAACACCAAAGGGACAGGCACGGGTTCAGGGTTCAGGGTTAAGGGTTTAGGGTTCTGGGGGTTGCTTTGAATTCTGTATGTACTTGTCAGCCAGTGCGTACCCAAATGTCAGGCAAGGCCAAGGCCAAAGGAAAAGCCAAAGCAAAGGCAACCCAGATGGCCCCGAAGACCGTTCAAGAGTTGCAAGAAGATGTCCGTTCCTCGCCATTAGTACTCGCCAGTTCCCATTTATGCATAACAATAGTTGACATGTGTACTACCATCTAAGGGAAGGAACTGAAGAAAGAACTGACAAGCACGGCAGTAGCCTTTGATTTGCCGAAGAAGCATGATCTACGCTCAAAGCTGGAGTCCTTCAAAGTCCAACTGGAGGAGAAGCTGGAAGCGAATCTCTCTTGAATTATCCCCATGGACACACTGGCAGCAATAGTGAGTACATGCTGGATGTAGCATACTTAAGGACCAACGACATGGAGGAGCTGGATGAGGGCGAGCTGGGAGATTTCATGGCTGAGTGCGAATCCGTGGTCCCTGGGCAGAATTCTCAAAGCCAATATCCCATCCACAATGTGTTTAGGCCCTTAAAAGATTTGGAGCTACAATCCCCCTAACCCTGGATTGCCAAAATGTAATTAATCTGCCCTAATTAGCGCTCATCTTAGGTGGAGGAGTGCAAGCTGGTGCGGGTTCAGGCCCGGGCAGTTGTGGCTGAGCGCAAGAAGGGCAAGTGACCTGCCAAAGTAGTTTAAGCGCTTCACCTGGACATGGCCTGTGCCCTTTGCGTGTGCACGGCTTCTGTAAGTAGCCCGATATAGAAACTTGGCATGGAGTTTAACAGCCTGGACCTTAACTATTGGGGTGAGCACATATGTGGGAAATCCGATAGGCCTCGAACCCTTTTAACCCCTATAGTCCAATCCTATTTAAATCTTAACCCCTAAATACCCCTACAAATTGTCCTCCCGAATCAAACGAGTTTGTAGGAAATCTTTTATGTCAAGTATTGATGTCCACTTTAGCCAGATGGTCCAAAACTGAATCTTATCGTGCTGGGGGGCTCTAGGCCTGGGCGAAGCAATCCTTTTGGGGAGACCTGCTGCAGATTTATTGCAAGCAACGCTGCGCAGTGCAGTGATGTGAGGCAATGCTGCTAGATCGGGAAACACGTTTTGCGCTATCTGTCTGAAAAAAAAGCTCTGGCCCGAGTGACATGCAACAAGAGGGTGTGACAACCTACCTGAGAACATGTTCTCGCACACACCGCCCCTACGCAGGATGCAGACTTTTACGCCAAATGGTGGATGATGAGTCCCTGGCCTACAAATAGAGTTGAGCCTCAACCCTACCTACCTATAACCCCCGTCCTGCTGGCAAAGTACTTTTTCCCCAAAAGATAAGACCCTAAATTTTCAACGTGATTGTGTTGGAATTTCTGGCTTGACTCAGCTCGAACACACTTTTTATCAATCAGGCTTTAGACAGCTAGGTGAATGTTAGTGGCGGGGCTAATATATCCATACCAATCATTATGTTTGCTTCTTGGAAACTAAGGTTAGCGCAAACCGTGGGTCATGGCTACAGCTCTATGCTGCATTTGGCCTCTCTAGCCGAGATTGTTGACAGCGACTTACTGTCGACTCTTGACGAAACGAACCATTCATTGACTACCAAAAGCGCTTACCTGAAGTTTGGGTATTTTAATAAAATATATTCGGTTTTATTGCTTGGGAACACCCTATCCAAACTGGTACCTTAAGCTAAGGAACACGAAAGAGCGTGATGTGCACAATGGTGCAAAACGGCTGGGCATATCGCTGCCTGCTAACATTTCCTATGTGGATATCCCTTTGCAGAAGTCAGCGGATGACAGAACTGTTGTCTACGAAAAGTGGCCTCTCCTGCTGCCTTATGAGTTAGCACCATGGCTGACATCATCAAACCTGATAACTAATCCCCTACAATCCTTGATCCCTGTGAACCCTTTTGATAGATTGGAACCGCTTTCTAGACTTAGCATCTTGGAACAAAGGTTAGTGGTATTCTCAATCATGGATTCCTGGAAAGTTTGGTGCCTGATCTGGCCTTGATTCCCCGCGTCTGGGAGCAGATCTTCTTCGATTTTCCGGACCATCCTGTCAGATGTGCAGGCTGGAGTACATCATCCATTCCATGTACGCTCTATTGAACCTTGGGGCTTTTTATTGGAAAAGGGCTGAAGTAGCCAAAGCAAGGATTCTGCAGATTCCTTGTTTGAGTTTTTTGGACCGGCTTTATATAGTGCTTTGTGTTCTCCACATTTGAGGTGATGAAGCAAATGCTATTAACGAGTCCTGGATGTTTTTGACGTTCACTTCAGACCTCTCTCCATATTTGACGGATTCTGCGGCCTCCCGCTTTTTGATTGGTATTATTCCGGCAAGCCGCTACTTGATCGACCCTGAATCTGGTACAAATATGACACTTCAAGCTGCGTGTTACCACATTACGAGAAGCTTCAATCGACTGAGCCAGCAAGGGATACCTGTCAAAGATCTAGATGGATCGTCTGAAGCAAGGCTGCATATCCCAACGTTTTATCTAGCTTGATTTCACGGTATCCCTCTATACCAAGAACTTTGAATTGCAAGTCCCCTAAATTCCCAAACCTTGTTTACCCGTGGAAAACAATTCTTAATCCCAATATGAAGGAAACCCCTAAACCCTGAAGCCTCCGCATCTGGAGTCTGCGAGGTGATGAATCTTCGAGCCTTTGTGACTGGGTTCAAGGGTGACTGGAAAGGGATCAAGCAGGTGCTGAATTTCATTCGTTATGCAGACAAAGATGAGGTGGGTTGCTCAAGGGTATCAGTTTTTATAATAAAGAACTTCACAGAATTCGTTAGGGGCTTGATATTCAGGGTTTGGAATAGAGCGATAGGGGTTTCACTGGGGTAGCAAGCCTTCTTTCAAGTTGTATTGGGACCCTGAAGTTCTGCTGGATTTGCCGGGCGACGAAAGGACTGGAGTCTATGGACTACGCGTTTACAAATTTGGATGACTCGGCCCCATTCTGGAGAACGCTTTACACTGATGAGCCATGGACAATTGCACCTGCGTACAGTGGCCTCAAAGGATTTGATTTGCGTATGGCAATGCCAGATATCCTTCACGTATGGCATCTAGGAGTCGGCAGAGATTTAGCAGGCTCGGCCATTGTCTTTATGATCAAGGAGACTGATATTTTTCAGGGCGCTAACCAAGGAGAACGTTTGCAGAATGCAACAATGAGCCTCAAACAATTTGCCAGATCTCAGAAGCTGCCCCTGAAGCTCCACAAATTGAGCAAGACAAAGTTGGGATGGACCGGGAAGACATTTCCTGAACTGAAATCCAGCGGCTACGATACCTACGTGACACTCAAGTGGCTGCTTCAGCTTTCCCGTGAATTTTCTGATGCCCTACCAAACTCCCTTTGCTCGTGTTTGTGGACGGCTGATCATGTCATTTCGCTGCTTACGAATGCAGGTCGCTACTTGACTGAGGAAGAACAATTGAACAAAGAAATGTTCGGCATGCTGTTCCTTCGGGAGTACATGGTATTGGCCAGCGTAGCATTGACTCAAAGGAAACGTTTGTACAGGTTGCGACCCAAATTCCATATTCTTCACCATATGGTGAAGTTCAAACCTCCATCTCGCCTAAACCCAGCAGCGTATAGCACTTGGGTTGACGAAGATTGCAATAAGCGCTTGATGAGGGTTCTCAGACAGACCGATCCCCGTACATCATGCAAGAGGTTACTTCAAAGGTACCTGCTGCGTGTGCCGGGCACTTTCCAAAGGAAACGCATGGCTGAAAAATGAGTCTGCAGCTTTCGTGGCCGACTGGAAGAAGTTGATGTAGAGGTGGTAGGCTTAAAGGGAAAGGTTCCGTTCTTTTCGGGTTCAGTTCTCCTACAGATAACGGAAGCCCCCTATACGTAGAGAATAATTAGAAAGGTTTGAAGACTAGGGTTTAGGTTGGACATGGGTTTGGGGTTTGAGGGATTTGAGAACTAATGTATGGCTTTGGGGTGATCCCCCGAATCCCCGAATGTCTCGGGTCAAGGCAGTAGTCCTACCAAATTCCCATAAGATTATATCCCCTTAATGGCAAGGGCTTCAGCTAGTATGTTTGCCCCAATGTTTACTTGTGTGCCCTGATGAAATCTTGATTCTACAAGGTACTGAAATCCTGGTGCCGTGAATTCCCTTTCACTTATGCCCCACATTGCCTTATAATCCCACTGAGCCCTGAATATCCCAAGTTATCCTCAACCGTGAGATCTAATCCAAATCCTTACAACAGGCCCTCCCAGATAAACACATATTCCTATATAAGTAGTGTATTTTTTTACAATATTTTATGGTTCCCCCCCTATGATGCTGATGATGCTTGGCTCAAGTGAGATGGCTCCTTCTGGAGATTGAGCTGGTTGCTTACCATCTTTCGAAAAGGTTATTTTCCACCTGCGTGTGCAAAATTCTCATATGTTCCATAATACCAGAAACAGTTTGGCCGTGAAAAGTTCTGTTGGCCAGCATGTCATCTTTTCATGTGCGTGGTTTCTTTGATCGCCCAAAGTGTGATCAAAAGTCCACCCAGGTTGTGCAGCAGCCTTGCGAAGGTTGCTGAATTTCCACGGCAGCTTGCTGGACACCTTTAGAAACATCAGGTAGCGAATCTACTTGGATCACTCTTTTTTCTGTTGTGGTCTCCGCCTCTC